ATATGTAGAGCTCCTTTTGGAAACAGAATGGGAGGAATTTATCCTCTAGATTGGATGGGAGAGCATAAGAGAAAGGGCAGAATCAATGTGACTCTTGTTTTCACATGAGGAAGTAGATGGCTGGTGGTAGTACCTTATCCAAAATGTGAACTATCAGGAAGTGAAGGTAATTCTATGATTGAGTACATTAATGCTCTTATCTAGAGTGAGAGCAAAATGGAAGCTGTATTTTTGGAGAAGAGGCAATTACTGGAAAGGAGGATGTTTGGCACTTTGTGAGCTTCACAGTAATTTGTTTTGCTCTCTGCTTTGATAACATTGTGAAAAGGGTCTTGTTTTGTCTCACTTCATCATGTTATGGAGACATGTTTTGTCTTGTCATTAAACCTGTCTGATGATAGTGTCCTGTGAAATTTTCTGTCCAATAGGAAAATAATATGCCTTACCAATGAACATCAGGCTAGGTTCTCACCAGAATGAGGCCTAGATTTAAGTGTCCTAGCAATTCTTAGATGTTAAAACGTTACTTTTTTTTTCAAGTAGAATAGGAAATTTTGAAAGAACTCAAAAATTGATTTGAATGTGTTAACCTTAAGACAAGTTTAGATGCTCAAGTAGACAGCTAGGCATGTCAGTTTGGAATCCAGCATCGGAGTTTCAGGAACATATTAATTTGGGGATAATTATTGTGATGACTGTATTTATAAGTGAGGCTGACATTTAGCATGTTGGGCTTACTTGATATCACAAGAAAAAAAGATTACAATAGAGGAAAGGAGATATCACAGGGTAGAGCCATGGGTAGCTCAACACTGAGACCTTGAAGAAATGTAGAGGAACCAGCAAATAAAATGGAAAATGAAACAGGCAAATGAATAAAGATATATACAAGAGACTGGTAGGATATGGAAGTCAGAGAAAAGCGTCAAGGAAGGAGTGGTCAACTCCACTAAATACTGCTGAGTAGTCACAAAAAATAAAAACTGAAAAGCATTAGATTTGGCAGTTTCATTGGTGGGCTGAACATAGGAAACCAGTAGCACTGGTCTGATATAAGACAGAAAGGTAATGAACCAAAGTGTAGACTCAAACAAGGCAGAAGGGGGCTGTGTGACTGTGGCTTAGTGGTAGAACACTTTCCCAGCATGTACTAGGCCCCAGGTTCAATCCTCAGCATCATAAGAAATTTTTTAAAAGGGCCAGCAAGATAGCTCAGCAGGCTAAGCGCCTGCTTTGGCAAGCTCAGGGACCAGGGTTTGATTCCCAATCCTGCATACCATGCCAGCACCACCCCCTGGGCATGCTGAGCCAATGACCGAGTCTGGGTAGGGTGGTGCACACCTGTAATCACAGTGCTAGGGAAGCTGAAACGGGGGGGATTACTATGAATCCTAGCTGCATAGTGAGACCCTACACCAAATACACAAAATGAAAACACTTTAAAAATAAAAATTTAAAAAAGATTAAAACTTAAAAAAAAGATTAGAAGGAAACCAAGAGGTTGTTTTGCTTTGTACTAGAGTCAAACTCAGGACCTCACTCCTGCCAGGTAGATGCTGTGCCATTGAGCTATATCCCCAATTCCAACAGAGGTATTTTTAAAGTGACCCAGATTAACACAATTTGTGTGTTGACCAGAATGATAAAACTGAGAAAAAAGCTGATGACCTTGGAAAATTTGGTCTTATCATGACAAGAAAAAAGCACAGAATACTAAACTTTACCCTGAACCAGACACTATGTTAACCACTCAATCTTCGTAACAAACCCAGAGAGGGAAGTAATATCACCCAAATGGTGAAAAACAGCCTAGAGATATGGACACTGGCAGTCTGCTGCTAGACCCTACACCGTTCTACTTTAGTGGATGATGAAAGAATCAAAGGGTATGGGCTCTTGAATTAACCAACCCCTGGACTGAAAAATTTAAACTTCTGAAGGATTCTTCCAGTTACTCAGAACACAGTGTGGAGACTGACCCAGCTGATGCCAGAACACCTAGCTCTGAGTAGTACTTCCTTGGCTATGGCTTTGCTTTATGGTGCACTTATAGGTAGATGGCAGGAAAAGGATTAGACTTACACCATCACAGCTCCGGGGAACCATCTTTGTAGTTCTTGCTTTACACTTCTCAGCCATTCTGCTCGGATCTTCCTACTTGTGAAAGGATCCTGTCAGTGGATGGAGGACTAAATGGGGAGTAGGATGAGGGTTTCTTTATCTTTGTGCCTACTCTTCTTCCTGTGTGCATTTCCCTCCAATTCCCCAGTCTAGGAGACTTACATGGAAATGCAGGTGCAGTTCTTTTTTCTTTTCTTTTTTCTTTTTTTTTTTGGCAGAACAGGGGAATGAACTCAGGCCCTTGCGCTTGCCACGCAAGCGCTTATTCTACTGAGCCATCTCCCTGGCCCCCTGCAGGTGCAATTTTGATGGATGAAAGTCTTCTGAACATTCCCAGAAGTAGTAGATTTAAAGAAAAGATCACCCTTCATATCTTTGCGCTTAACTGAAGTGTCTTTATACCACCATTAAAGAAATATCACTGTGTCATCGCTGGGATGAATGGCAGGCTACATGCAAATGAATAAGATCCCTAGGTCCCAGCAATGGAAAATGAACCAATTTGGACTACTGAAACTGAGAGTGACAGAAAGGAGCAAAATGAAATAAATACCAATCTCATATGACAATGCCCCTAGAGAACTGACGCCATGAGGGGTGGGGCAAGAAACAGGTTGATTGTCCCCATTCTTTCTCTTGCCAGGCCTACCAAAGTACAGTCCCTACTAGCTCACATATAGATACTAAAAACAGCCAAAGGGAGGCCCTTTCTCCTTCCAAGGATCTGAAGCATTGCCACAAATGGACAATCTTGTAAGTCAGGTATGTAGCTATCTGATAAATTTGAATGACTGCAATCCAGTTGTCCTCAGATACCCTAGGTTTGCCCAGGTTTCTAAGAGCATCTGGCAGTGAGAATAATGTGATGAGTTGTAGAGAGTCTAGGATATTCCCATTTTTACTCTCTTCAACATATGTAAACATCTCAAGTTATTTCTCCTTCTGTATCCCAATCAAACCCACCATAAAATATTCTTTCTCTGAGTTTCATCTTTAGATTGGCCTAAGTGATTTGTTATAAAATGCGAATACTCTTGCCAGGGGTATCCTGTCAGGCAACTCAGAAACTTTATATATTTTAGCTGTTTGCCTTTTTCTCTAACTTACATAAAAAGGGCACTGTGGCACAATAACTTGAGTATATTTAACTGTCCATAACTATATATTTTAAATGACTATGATAAATCCATGTGTGGTGGCACATGCTTGTAATCCAAGCTATGTGGAAGCTGAGGCAGGAGGACTGCAAGTTTAAGTTCAGCAAGAAACTTCGCATGACCCTGTCTCAAAAGGAAAACACTTAAAAATGCTTTGGCATGTATCTCAGTGATCCTTATCCCCATTATTGTGAAAAAAAATGACTAAGATGATACATTTCACATTATGTGTATTTCACCACATTTTTAGACGTATAACTCGGGTATCTTCTACTTCGACTGCACTCTCATCAGAGAAAGACTCAAGCCCCTCTTTTAACTTTGCTTATTACTCTGTCGGCCCTTAAAAACACTGCTGATGTAGCACTGATAGGGCCACCTGTTTCCTTGCCCTAAGGCACAGAAGGCAGAGTTGCCTTAATCACATAGTCTTGTTAGACTGCGGGTTAAGTAACAGAAGATCTAAACCGTGACTTCCCATCCAACATTTTCACTAAGGCTATTTTTCGGTTTATCTAGACTGGATACTGATGTAATTGTATTTTGTCAGCTGTCCCTCCCCTCCCCCCCTCCCTTCTCTTCCTTTCCCTTCCTCCTGCTGCTCTTACAAAACCCACAGAACCTGATTCTTGCCCTCATTCTCTTCTCTAATCCCTGACACCAATCCCTGAGGAACTGTATTATTAAAATACTTTTTACCTATATCTTGTACTCTGAATAACTAATATAAAGAAAAAATATGTAATGTATTGATTATTGTTCTTATCTACTAGCCTGTTTTTGAAACTCTATTTTATTGATTTTTGTTTAAAAGAAAAATATCCTTGACTACAGTCCCAGTGAGGCCCTGTAAATATAACATTATTGTAACATTTCTTTTGACATGGGAACATCTCACTATGGTGACCAGGCTGGCCTCAAATTATTTTGGGTAAAGTGATCTTCCTGCCTCAGCCTCCCATGGATCTAGGATTGCAAATGTATACTGCCAATGCATGGCTTGTCATAATATTTTTAAAAAGTGAACCATGGGCCTGAAGGCAAAGGGAATTAGAGGAAGACAGACAGTTGTGTGTACTTTTCTAGTCAGCTAAGATTCTGAGAATGAGGAAAAAACTCTCAGAAATCAGGAAGTTAGTCCTCAAGTACAGCATTAGCAATCTTCTTCACTCAATAACAGTATATTCTCCATAGTGGAAAGTTTTCTCTTCATTTCCCCTACCTAACTGCCCAAGGTTTCCCCTCAAGGAGGAAAAAGGAAAATATAACGTAATACCATGTATACTCATAAGTGTTATGCTTCTCTCAGTAATTTCTCATAAGCAATCTCAGGTGATTCTTAAATCCCCACAGCTGTGGAGATTGCAGCCCAGAGAGGTTCAGCGTGTCTCACACAGAAACAAAGCCCATTCACTGGCAGAGCAAGGGCTGGAAACAAGCTTCCCTGCTTCCTGGACCTAAGCTCTCTTCACAGCACCACAGTGTATTTTATTTAGTCACTAGGTAAGATTGTTTGGAAAGCAGCTCAGACCTTATTCTCTTTGCTGATACAAATTATCTGCAGACCTTGGGTTCATAAAAGCACAGCAAATTGGAAAGAAGATGGTAACCAGAATTAAATGCAAGACTCCATTTATATCCTTCTACAAAAGTAAAATTGGCAATACAAAAATATGTTCATAATGGAAAGAAAGCTTCTGTTCATTTCAAACATTTTTTATGGTACTTGAGCTTGAACCCAGGCCTTCCTCCATGCTAGGCTAGTACTCTATCGCTAAGCTACGATCTCGGGCCTACTTTATACTGTTGGTGAGCACTTCCAGACAGTTGAACTCAAATCATTTCCTCATCCCTTTGTTGAAAGTCTCAAGTTAGAAGCAGGGAAACATGGTCTCCCTTCTGTTTCATGGTTACTAGAGAGCAAAGGTCCAAATCTGAATGGAAATAGGATCTGATATGCAGAGTATAGTAAAAGACTGCTACATGGAGTGTAAAGAAACTCACTCTAATTTATTAGAATGTTGTTTGAAATCATATTAAGGACATAGCTAATATCTTCCCTATTTGCCTATCAGCCCATGCAATTTAGGAAAACTTTAACAAAACGGGGGGTTGGCCAAGCATACAGCTTTTTTCTTTCTTCTATTTATCTTGTACTTATCACAAAGTGATCACATGAATGCTGTTGACAGCCCAGTGGCTGGGAGACCGTTAAGTGCCCAGGCTTCTGGGAAGCTTCATTATCTGGGGCACGGTTCAACTATGAAAGTAGTTGAAAAAGCAATTGGCCAGTAAAACAAATTGTTCTCTTCCAGGCCGGTTCACTGCTCTCATGAGGAGCTTTCTATAGCTGCTCCGGTTACAAGTTTTTAATGGGTACATGAAGTCATCATAATAAAGGTTGAAGTGTTTTCTAAAGCAAGAACATTTTGCCATGGTATTCCTTTCCCACAGATGTGTGGTACCAATGCTTCTTTATGGTATTGTCCCAAGTATTCCCAGCTCCTTTAATCTGGGCTAAAAACATTTTAAATATCTATAGAAAAATTTTAGAAATATATTTACAATATTTCAACACCTAAATAAGGGAGTATGGTTCATTATCAAAATAACTTTGTGTCCCCAGTTATATAAAATAAATGAGCAATAGCGCTATACTTAAGGCAAGGGCTAGGCACTGTTTCCCATCCCCCCAGCACTCTTTCCCCATCCCCCAGGCTTCCCTGACATGGCTATTACTGCATTTTTTCTCACGCTGTCTTTCCTTTGCATGGCTGGCCAGTCCCTGGCCCATCCTTTAAGGAGATGGGGCTACCTTTAGACTGAAACTTGCTAAGGTAGGAAGGTTGTCATGAGTTCCAGGGCAACCTGAGCTATATACCTAGACACCGTCTCAAGAAACCAAAATATTAAAAATTAGCTTTTATAAAAACTAATAAAAATGATCCTGGGAAACTTTTCTTTTCTGTTCTGTTGTTTTCAATGCATCCTGAAAACTTAAAAAGGAAAGTAGGTATCTTTGTTTTGTGTTCATATTTGAGAGGGCTTCAGAATTAAACAGATGAAGTAACAAAGCAGGTATAACTTTTGAAATACTTGCAATAAAATTAATTCATTTAGCTATATTAACTTTTTTTTTCAGCACCTGGGTTCAAGGAATCTTCCTACCTCAACTCCCAAGCAGCTAGGACTATAGGTACACACCCACCTTAAACCTTTTTTTCACCTACAATTCTTCACATCATATTGGATCTGGTCATATGAATACAGATATCACAACAACTCAACTCCCAAATCCAAATACCATTTCCAAAAACAAAGAAAGATTCCTTATATAGAGCTGAGTCTCAAGGCTGGGGTGTTTGAGAAAAGAGTCACAGGTTATTGTTTAAACTACATTTATTACCTGCCTTATACATTCCCCAAGGTTACAGAGCAGGGGATCTTGGGCTCTCATGTTCCATGGATGGAGCTGACACTGACAACTTAATATAGGGAATGCATTTAGAAGTTTTGGGGTAATACACCTGTTATCCTTACCCACAGCAGTAGGTCAAGCTACTAAAACTCTGCCAAGCAACCTGTGAGATGACAACTAGGTAGGCAAGAAACCACACAATTTGAGGTCATAGATCTTCCTCTTCTATTAAGTCCCCTCCCACTTCAGTTTCCATTAAGTCTATGCCATCTCAAACTAGTTCCTGCTGAATGACAAAGGGAAGGAAAAGATATCTGAGCTCTCTTCATTTTCTGTTTCTGTTCCTAAGGCAATGAAAAGCTGAATCTGCTGCAGTAATCCTGACCTGGCAGTGAAGCTCAATGGCTTTGCAGTGTGAGAGATCCCTGTGAGCTCCCAGGGCAGCTGCCGGTTAGAAAGATCAGAGTTCTGACAGACTTAGTTCTTCAGTTCAATGCCCCGTGTTGGACGTGTTGGATTCAGTTCCCAGTGGGCTATCACTGCATATCAGGGCTGTCTGAAGACAAGAGAGCAGAGGCAGTTTAGTGCAGCTGGATATGAGGGATGGGGGTGGTAGTGTGGGAAGAGAAGAGAGAAAAACTGGCCAGGAGTAAATAAGGGGTTCTTCTTCCTGGGCTTTCCGGACAAGGTCTCCTGATCTCACGTCACTGACTGGTCCTCAGGTGAGGCGAACCCTGCAAGGGAAAGAAGGGGCAGGAGTGGCACCCAGAAATAAGCTAGATGAGGAGGGCACGAGCCAGCAAGCTACAGAGCTGGGGCTGTGGTTCTAGACCCGTTCGGCACCCTGGGTGAGGGCAGGCAGCGTCTCAGGGGCGAGCAGTCGGTGGCCTTCCACCAGAAAGTTGGCAGCAGTCTCAGCATCGGTGTCCAGGGCACAACCAGAGGCCCATTGAGGCAGGGTATTGCAAGTCTGGGTCGGCTTCTGCTTGGCCTTGCAGAGCTTGCGGGAGCGAGTATAGGCCATTATGAGGCCTCCGGCCAGGCAGGCATAGAAGATCATAATGAGCAGGATGTAGAGGTAAGCATCATCGCCCTTGGCGCTGGTGGCCTCGCGGCCTCCGAAAGTGTCAGGCACGGCCCCCATGCCCATACTCAGGTCAGAGCCAGCGACCAGACCACTGGTGTTGCCCTGATGGTGCAGCTCAAGCAGCAGGCGGCTCAACAGGTTTTGCAGCCATCGGCTATCGCTGCAATTCATGGCCTTGGGAGACTGACAAGGCAGCTCCAGCACGCTGCTGACCTTCCCGCTGAGCCAGGGGAAGCGAGAGGGCAAGTAGGCCGGCAGACCGCGATGGCGAAAGCAGCGAATCCCTCCTCTGGGGCGGTCGGTGAACAGTGGTTGGGGACTCCGGGGCCAGGCCTCCTTATCCCCTCACCCTCACCCTCTCCCTCCTCCCTTTTTCCACCACGCCCACTCCTGCCTGAGGCCGCCTCCTAAGAGCCTGGCTGTCTGGCCCCTGGGGGGGGGTGGTGAAGAGGACAGCTGATGGAAGGAGGAAATGGCAACAAGGGAGGCGGGGGAGGCCAGAGGAGATGTGGAGGAGGCAGAGGGGGCTTGGAATGTGTGAGGCCCCAGGCAACAGAGGCTGGCAGGGCAGCTTGCTGGGGCCAAGCCTAAAACCCTGGGCTGCAACAGAGAATTCTTTACCATTTCTGGCCACCTGCCCCTGCAGGCCTGGCTTTGGCCCAGATATGGCAGCTGACCCCCCAAGACAGGACCTGCTCTGGGACACCCAAGCAAAACCGCACTTGCTTGCAGCAGCAGAGACACCCTAGTCCAAATCTTACGGGAATTACTCCCACAGACAAGGACCTTGGCCTGTCTTTCTCATCCTCATATCCTACCTGCACCCCAGACTGCGGAACACTGGTTATTCTAAACATACTCAGGGCAACTTCTGAGCCTAGGTGGTAAGTACTTGTTTAAAGCCAATCACAATGGGCCTCCAGGGGAGTGTAAAGTGTTTAGTGACTATCTATCAGGCTCTTGGGAAGTATCTCTGTTCTGATCCCCTATCACAGTTTTTCAGGGAGCCCACAAATCTTAGCACATGAGTGTACCATCCATGATGTAATCTGATTTTGGGGGGATACATCATCTTCCCAGAATTGAAACCAAGTTCTTCCACTAAGATGAACAGGAACATGGGTAAGGGTATGTGTCTACACATTCTAGATGTTTGAGGTCTGAAAAGAGCCAATTCTAGAAAAGATTCTAACCTCATTTCCAGTTGGGCAGGCTCACAGCTATGGGTCTCTCCAGGGCTCGTTAACAGGGTTAGGCTCTGATGACTTCTGGGGCAGCCATTTTTCATAGGAGGTACTTATTTTAAGCAAAAACAAAGCACTGAGACAAAGATCAGTTCTATTAAACTACATTAACTGAAAACAGACCGAGCTTCACAAAGAACAAAGGTTGATATGTAGATAATGAGGTAGAAAAAATGAAGTAGTGTTAGTGATGTCTGGTTGTATACCTTTTGGTCTGTGGACCACTCAAAATGAAGGTGCCATGGATTTATAAATTGTTTTCTGGTACCTCTCACACAGCCAACCTATAGCTTACTCCCTACTCAGGGACCACAGCCTTCTATGTACTAAAGTGAGTTTAGCGTCACACTGTAACCAAGATCTCAAACAGCGTCACTTCACAAACACTGCATAGGCTTTAGACATTCCACATGATCCTCACCACTGCTTCAATGCTATCAACTTGGAGGGGCTGGGAAAAATACTGTTAAAGTGACTTGGCAATGCCAAACACCACAGTTGGAAACTTTTCTAAACAGTAGCAATTTAAGGATATAACTGTTGAAGTGAAATACTCTTTTAGGACATGCTTCCAAATACCTAGAGATTTGGGAGGGGAGAGCTCTTTCACTGTCACCTGAAGAGTAATCAGTTAAATTCAAACTTTTCAACAGCTTTATGAGCTGGTAGCATTATTTTTATTCTCAGAAATGGAAGGTAAGGTTCAGATTGTTTAAGCAGCAAGATTATAATTATAAAGTTTGGTCTTGTTCTCAGACCTACAGCACTCCTCACACATGGATCATATCCATGAGCTCTCTCCCTTGCCTTACCTTCTCTTCCTTCTATACTACAGTGCTTTCTGCCAAAACTCTTCTCTGAGTCCACCAGTGACCCCTTAGCCAAATTCAAGGGACTCTGAATAGTTGCCTCTTTGATCTCAAGGATGACTTTGATATCAGCAGCCACCCACTCCTTCCTGTACAGACCTACCCTTGGTTTCCATGGCACTGTGTTCTCAAGATTTCTTTTTAACTGTCTGACCTGTAATTCACTGTCCTTGTTGACTCCTCTTCCTTCCTCCTCCCATTAATTCTTGGAATCTGTACAGACTCAATCCTCAGCTATTTTGTCTGAAAGTGTCTCCTTCCATAGTTTCACCTAGTACCTACAATATATTTAGCCAAATTTGAATCTCTACCTCTAATTCTTCTTGGTAGCATCTCTCAGATTCCTCTACTTCTTTGTTTATGGTTTTATTTGCATATGCTTCATCTAATTTTTCCTTATTTTCGGTCAAATATGCAGACTGAGAATTTCTTGATGGCTCTCCCCGCCTACAATGCAGTCCACCATGCTTTGGATAGAGTAATTATCTTCCCACACTTCTATCAATTCGGAAACCTAGTTTCTGCTCACTGCCATTTCAGTGAAGCCCTATCTTAAGTCATCACTAACAGACACTACCTCCTCTTCCAGTCTAGAGAAACAGCATGTGTTACTGCGTGCTACTCTGTGCCTTTTGCTCTCCTCAGAATTCACTGCCAGCAGGCAGCCTTGTTCCGTGCGTTGCTGTGCTCTCAGAATCTTCACAGTGTACCCTTACTGGCTCTGCCCTGACTTAAGATTTGCAGTGTTCAGTGGAAAAATCTTGGGAAGCACTAAGGAAAACAATTATCAATGATATACTTGTATGTACCCGCACAGACACATGCAGTCATGCACAGTCACACACGTTCATTATTTCATGGCGTATCTTTCTCACTTAACCCCTGTGAGCTTTCCCTGTGCCACTTACTTTTGTAATAGCATTTCATTTTCTATATCATGTTCCATTCTGAAGCTATCATTCATTTAAATTAGCCTTTATTGTAAGGTTTCTGTTATTTACAGACTTTTGCCTTAAAAATAATGTTTTAGTGAACACATACAACACTATTTTTATCAGAAGAAATTACGATACAAAGTAAATTAATAATATATAGAAGACTGTCATAGGGATAATATATATACACATAAGAAGGTGATAACAAAAATGGAAAATAATCATAAAATGCAAATAGGCTCAAAGTGTCAGAAAGGAAAAAAAAACAGGTGTGAGTGGGGATTCTCGCTTTCTTTTAACACCAGATGCTGCTGAGCATCCATTCAAATTTCAGTCCTCGGCCATCCTTAGATCGCTGAAATGCCAGTCTCTTTTCCTGACACACCTAAAACTGCCAATCTATCAGACAGGAATTGGTTCCTATTCCTGCTCACCATTCCACCCTCCTTCCACCCTTGCTCCATACCTATTGAATAATCATCTGTTTATCATCTAGGCTTCATTATTTGAATCCTAATTGAATGGTAATCAAGACTGTTGATAAGGAGAAGTAATTTAGAATCATATATTTAGATTTTCAAGGAGTCTTGGGAAAAGTTGTGATTGGTGCCAAGGTTGATTTCAAAGTACAGTAGCCATCCAAAGCTGGGTAGGGAGAAGGAAATGCTTTCACCATTCCTTGAGTCTATGAGTGCTTCCTGCCAATCTTGCAGCTCCATGGAGACTCCATCTACCTGCCCTAGAGACGTTTTGGAGATCGTGGTGGCCTGGTGATGAGATTTCCCTATATCCAGGCTACATACTGGAACATGAACTATGATCCCTGATCTCACTTATCAAGTGCCTAACATGTGAGAGGCATATCACACACATTGTATTAAGTAGCCCTGCCACAAATCTATCACACGGGCAGGGGTGAACAGCGGTATATCTCCAGCACTGACAGACCACAATGAACTAATGAACAATCAGACTAGACACTAGCTTAAAAACATCCAGCATGCCCTTATGGAACCACAGCACCATGGGTCAGAGAATTAGGAGAAGGCACAGACTAAATAGCTGCCTGCTTCCCAGAAGATCAAATCAAAATATGATCTCCAGTTTCAGGATAAGCTGGGTTTTTTCTTTTTTTCTTTTTTTGGCAGAACCGGGGATTGAACTCAGGCCCTTGCACTTGGCAGGGATGCGCTTATTCTACTGAGTCATCTCCCTGACCCCCAGCTGAGTTTTCTAGAACCTCCCTTCTTTATATGAATACTCCCTTGTGCTCCCAGTGCTGCTTGCAGGTACATGAAAACTTCATTGCCTACCAATCCCCGTGCAGTAACATACTTTCACTGTACTTAGGAATCATATGGAAAAAAAGGGGGTACAGGTGAATGTCCATTTTGTATCTGAAAAGGGTAAAGCCTAATTCTGCTTAGCTTTTATTGAAAGTTTGCTTTCTCAGCACTGTGTTAAGCATTTTCCATGCATTAATCTCACTTAACCTTAATGTCAACACTGTGAGGAAGGTACAGTAACATTTGTATTATACAGATGAGGAAACTAAGGTGCAGAGAAGTTAAGTAACTTGCCCAAAGTCATGTAGTTCATAGTCAGCCACATTGAGCTTTGGTAATGCATGAGCTTTTATTACCATGGTATTATAATGTTGCTGTCAAATGTTTTATATAGAGGGCAGCAAAAACTTTCACATAAATTCTCATCAAGTCTTATAATTTTAGATTTCAGGATACTGAGGGCCACAGAAGAGTCTTGCTTGAATTCTCCCATTAGTAAATGATAAGAACATCAGAATCCAACTTTCTTAACTAGAAACCTTTCCATTTCACAGCACAGCCTTCTTCAGTGCTTTGGGGACACTTTGCATTTAATTTTAGCCTTTTCACAGTTTCATGGACCTGAAAAGAACTTGGAGATCTTTGAAAGAATTGTATGAATCTGAAGGGGTGAAGTAAGGTCAACCTTCCTTTGGGACCTTTGGGGCCAAGACATAGGGTCATAAATAACATTGTCAAGCTTGTATCAATTCCTGCATGGCTCCCCTGTAAATGTTTTTGCCACCCACTGTCTCCTCTAGACAAGGAAAGAAAACAGCTTGGAGACTTGGAGATTTTGTGAAAAGGAGAGGGAATGGAAAAGACCCTGAGGGCTCCTTTCTCTTGGATTCCCACAGCACCATCTGGTGGAAATCTGGGGTTTTCATTTCTCTTCATTGACATTTTGCAGCCTTTAAGTTTCTTGTCTGTTTTGGG